CAAAGTATCGTCGGACTCAGCATCGTCTTCGTCTTCGACTTCACTTTGGTTAGGCCAAACTAGCCTGTTGGTAACTGGTTCTCTCTCTAGAGGCTTCCTTTGTTTCCTTTGAGGAACATTCGAACTAGTTTCTGCCTTAGGTTCGTTGGCAGCCTCCCTTTCAGCTTTTCGTCTCCTTTGATATCTCCTCCATTGGGATCGAGACATAGGATTTTTACCCTTGTAGTTGCTGGACACTTGAGCAACCTTAGGTGCAGCAACTTGAGGCTCTTTCTTTTGAGTCAAAGAGGAACCTCTTGGCACATCGAAAGAATGTCATTTCTCTTCATTTGCCCTTTTTCGGCCAGAAGTTTTGTACCAAGTGTCTACTGGTACATTTGTTGGAGGCCTAAAAGTCAATGGCCTCTTGTCTTGATTAGAACCCCTTCTGGGATCATGTCGAAGGTCAGCATTCTCCCTTCTCTTGTTCGCTGCTCTCACGCCTTGAATGTGCTCAGCAGCTTTTTTATCAAAGATCGAACTGCATCTTGGACACAGCATCACCTCTGATTTTTTCTTCTGGCATCTTTGTAAAAAATCTGCCAAGTTTTCGTTTTCTCGTGGGAAAGCCGTCTTATTAGCCTGCTCTTGCCTTATGGCCTCTTCTGATGCTTTAGGGTCAGAAAGATCGACCATGTTGATATTCATTGTATCTTTAGTAGCAAGAGTTAACTGCTTCATTTGTGTCTCCAGATTCTCCGTCTGGCCTTGAACAGTGGCCAAGTGGGAACTGGGCTTTGATCCAGTTTTTTGTGCTTCAGCAGTCTTCGACTTCGGGTTCTCGACCGCTTTCTGGACAGCCTCAATTGTCTTCCTGGATAAATTTCCAGAAAAACTGCCAAAGATTGGCATGTTGATGTGGTCCTTTGAGACTTCGACCATGGTAATTCCTGGCTTCTTCGACTGGATCCTGGTTGCCTCTATCATGTTCACCTCAGAGGGTTCTGCATAGTGGGCTTCAGCCTTCAGTGGATTGGAGTCGACAGCCATGGGAGATTTGTCTGCAAACTTTAATCTCCCTTCCTCAATAGCGTCTTGCACAAGATTCCTGAAAAGAAAACATTGAGAAGTTTTATGGCCCAAAAAATTATGATATTTGCAAAAACCTCTCTTCTTTCTTTGATCAAGAGGAGGCACTTTTACCCCAGCGGGTACTATCATTTGGCCATCTTTAACTAGCAAGTCGAATATTTCATCACATTTTGTGATGTCAAAACTATAAGTCTTTTTTGGGAACCTATCGTTGGTCCTGTCTGGACCAATGGGATTTTTCCCATTTGAGGGGACTAACTGTTTACAAGAGTATGGTGGCCCTTGTTTTAGTTCTGCTAAATCGACTTCTCCTTCTTCGACAGCTAAAGTATCGTCGAAGGATTCTAGATCTTCGTCATCCATCTCAACGTACGCTATTCTCTCTCTCTTGTGAGTTTTCGTTGCCTTAGCTTTTTCAGCTTTGAGGCGTTCGACCTGTCGAACTCTATCGGCCAGTTGGGCCATGTCTCTCAGGTACTGGGTGTCTAGCTTCTTCCTAATGGAATAATCTAAACCGCCTGCGGCTATTTCGACCAACTCATGTTCTGGCACTTGTGTAAAACATCTCGCCTTGAGCAACCTAAACCTATTCAGATATTCGTCTATAGGTTCAGTGAAACGTCTCTTCACACTGGCCAGTTCTTTCAGGCTTATCTTGGTTTGCCCCATGTAGAATTGTTCATGGAACAATCTTTCCAACTGGGTCCAATGATGGATCGAATTGGGGGGAAGAGTTGTAAACCAAGTAAAAGCGTTCTTGGTTAAAGAACTTGGGAAGTACTTGATCCTTAGGTTTTCGTTATTCGAAATGTCTCCTGCTTCGATCAAGTATCTCGCCACATGCTCGACAGTAGATTCTGTCGTGTCCCCAGAGAACTTAGTAAATTTGGGGACTTTGCATCTAGGAGGTAAATCCGTTTGTAACACGTATTCTGACAATGGAGATGTAAAGTTGGGCCTTCGAAAGCCCATGTTCATCCCATTCTGAGTCATGATCCTTTCGATCATGGTTGCCAGATTGTTTTCCAAACCCATGTTTTGGTATTGGATATGCTGAACCACTTCGTCAGCATTTTGGTTCTGTTAACTAACCTTACCTCTGGGGCTATTACCCTAGGTTCCTCGACAGGTTGTTCGACAGGCTGTTGAGCCTGGTTGATGGTGGTTTCTTCTTCTACAAATATCCCCTGATTTCCCCTTATTTGCGCCCTTTGGGGCTGTCGAATAGGTGGGGGTACTCCAAAGAAGTCAGCCAAACGCGTCATTTGCGCTGTAACTTGCTGATTCGATTGAGTAGTGTTTTGTATTAGAGGGTTTAGCACTGTACTCAAATTTTGTGCCAACATTTGCACCATATCATGGTTGCTTTCGTCCATTTGTTGCCTCAAGACTGCTGTCGAGGCGTTTGTAAGGCCATGGGCTATTTGGGACGTTCCTCCTAAGAGTTGGGTCCTATTTCTATTCGCCATGCCTACTCCAGAGCCTTGGAGTGGCGAAGAGGCACTCACGAAAGGGTCTGAAAAAGTGGACGCAGCATTTGTCAGGCTTGCCACTTCGGAAGTTGGCATACCATAGAATGGAATAAATCCTGGGGGAACCACAGGCCTTGTGCCTATATTTCCCCTTGGTGGGGGAGTTCCCAAAGGTATTCTGGGGCCTGTTAACGAAGTTATTGGCCCCGTGGTTGTGACCGACACTGCTGGTGTCGAACCAACGTTTTTCGCTTCACTTACGGTCATACTAACCGTTGCTCCCACACTCGTTTGTGGGATTTCGTTATTGTTTGGCGGATTCGCCATCTCTTCCCTTCCTCTGGCAGTATTGTTATCGTTAGTGTATATTCTACCACTTCTCAATAACATACAACTCGAAAAGATGAGATTATTTTCAACAATCAACACACAGTCCCACCGGGTGTGCCAATTTGTTTACCTTGGGTTTTGGTAAACAACCGCTGATCCTCCAAATGGTTACTTATTTGGTTACTCGCAGGATCGATCAGATTGATCCTATGGACATAGGTTAATTTTGAAGTTTGATTAAGTTGGATAAGGCTTTAAATAAAAGGTTTCAAGTAAATTGCATAAAGGAAAGACTTGGTAAAATAAACAAGGCTTTAAGGTAAAGGTTCGACAAGAAATGTAAAGAGAAAAGCAAGTAAAATTCTGGGAAAGTAAATGACTTTAATTGATAAAATTGGTGTTTCACACATACATTTCTCAACAATTCTTTCTCACACGCTGGGTACTCGAATCTAAATGAGTGACTTTGTATAAAATTGTGAACACACGCGAGAAACTACATGTCTACTCCTATTTATACTAAAACATCCCAAGTAACCGTCGGGCAGTTACACTGCTTCGAGATCAATCCACTTGGCACGTTCTCCATGCTCGACGCTCCAGATCCTTGCACGTTTGCACGTAGTAACTGCTGGAAACCGTTTTCCCTCCAAACACTTGAATTTCAAACTGCTCCACTCTGAACCATCGAACACTTTCGTCAAGAGACATCTTCGACGAGAAACTCCTTCGACGTCGAAGGCAATCAGCCTTCTTCCTTGGAAGAAATCTTCTAAGTATTTTGCCATCTTTCGACGGGCGCTTCGACAGACTTAGCCAGTCGAAAGCATCTTACAGCTTTTAATGGCTGACATCAATCAAAACAAAGGTGTCGAATTTAGGAGCTAACACCCTCACATTGCAGTCCTTAACCCGACTCTGAGACCATGTTAAATATGTTTGCATCTCAACCTGAAAAGTTAGTTCAAAGGGTGAGGTTGCCCTCACATATTTATATATCCAACATCCCAAAAATCTAAGCAATGCAGGACTTACAAACACCAACAACACAAATACCAACTTCAACATATATTTTATTTTGTATATATATAAGATGTATACTAATTGAATTATTTTTAATCGGATCAATCCAAGTTTTCCTTAATTTTATTTCCACTTACATTCTTCCTTCTCAAATCGAAGTCATATGTTATGAAAATGACTAGGTTCAAATCAAATCAAGTACTTTAATATGTGAGGTAAAAAATAGTAGCAACTAAAATAAATGGTCTTCAGTAATAATAATTCATAAACAAAAAATATATCAAGAAAATAAAGCGAGAAAGACAAAAAGTTTGTTTACTCAGTTCGACCAAAAGATCTACGTCTAAGAAACATAACGACTCTTCAATTTATTATACTCAAGAAGTTTGTTACAATAGATTACAAATGAGTTACACGAAAATAACATTCGCATTCAGAATTTCCAAAATATAAAAAAGTATTGTCCAGTCCTTCTAAATAACTTTAAAAGATTTTCTTAAACCCTGAACTCTTATTTCTCCATTTGACTTTAAAGCTCTAAAGTTTTCACCGTGTAAACTTAGAAAAAATACATATTGATAATAACTAGAACCCAACAAACAAAATCCAAAATAAAATCCATTAGCACATGGATCCATAAATTGAATAGAAAAAGTATAAAACACACAAATAGAGGAAACGGTTGATTTTTAAAAAAATCTCAAAATCAGACCAACCGTGACCCGACCCTACGCACCCGCCGTAATTCATTTATCCCAACCCATATTTCAGAAAAATTCCTAATCTATCTCACTTTCTAAAAAAAATGAAATTAAGAGGTAACATCAATGAAATTGACACATTGTATGGTGCTGCTAACTCAATTAGCACATGTATGTATTATTTCAATGGTGACGCGAATTCGATTGACAAAGGTGTGAATTACAAAAGATGCAATTGCAATTTATGCTTGGTAAGGAATTACCATGATATTCATATTACTTATATTTTTCAAAACGAAAGTAGTGAATCAAACCTTGATATATATAAATATTAAATGGAAGTAAATAAATTCCGGAACAAAAAATATCAAGAAGATACAATTGGTCCGTCGAATCTACAAAATCACTGTTCAGCAATAGTAAGCAGCATAGGACGCCAAGCCTTCCTTTTCAGCAACGACCTACAACGAAAACCGGTTAAAACCGGGTTACTCAAACCCGGTCCAACCCTCCAACTATCAGACCGGAAAAGACCCTTTCCCAACATCAGAGAACCAGCACCTTCTTCCGCTTCCTCCTCTCGCGGCGGCGACGACACAAACAGATCCTTCAACGAGTGTCTCCGCATCGAATCCTTCTCTTTCTTCTCCAACACCGCCACGTGTCCCTGTCGGCGCGGCGGTCGAGTCAGGCTCAGCCCAAGCAAACTCCGCAGCGTTGTTTTGGGCCTCGGAAGCTGAACCAGCGGGCTTGTCCTTGGGCTTAACGTTGGACTCTTTTCCGCACCGCATTGTGTTGCGAAGATCTTGAATTTCTGCAGCTTCGCCATTTGTTTTAGTTCTTCTAGCTTCTATCACTCCGTGAGCTCTGTTATTATAGGAGTTTGTGGTGTGATGGAAATGAAGTGAATTTGAATTTGAACGTTGTTGTGGTGATGATTATGAAGGGGACAAAGGTGGTTGATTACTTCTAAGAAGCATGGGATCTATTTTGGGAATGCTTCCAACATATTTATTGGCTTTGTTTTTTTTTTTTCTCTTCTTTTCTTTACTCTTTTTTGTGCCTTTAGGACCTATGACCATTGAATGGAATTACTTGTAGGACTAATCACTTTTTTTCTTGTCTCATTTTAAATACATAGGATGAATAGTTTCACAAACAAAAGAGGCCGGTAACTTGGTGGGTTCATGTCTTATCAACTACTAGGTTCATGTCTTATCAACTACTACTGCTATTACATATAAATTTCTAAATTTCTAACTTGGTGGGTTTTTGTCTTTCTAAATTACTAAGGAAGGTGTGTTCGTTTCTGTTGGAACATGTTCATGTTTTAATAGGTTGAATTTAAAAATTTCTGAAGTCCCACATTGTTAGAATATCTTTTTGGTTAAAAAAATCATTTAGTTCCACATTGCTCATGTGAGAAATATTAACTATCCTATTTCACTATATAAGGAGTGCATATGTTTCATTCCAAATCACACCAAAAACTATTCTATTAGTTTTTACTTCCTCACTCTCAGAGTTCTGCGTCTCTCGAATTGTCGAAGCGTCATCTTCTTCCCCTTTCTTCCTACTCGTTGAATTTTTCGAGTATTTTCTTGAATTCTCTTTAGATAATTATGTTAATTTCTCCTCATTTGAGTTGAGAAATTTTCAAGTTTAATCTTTTGGATTCTCTTTGGAGAATTATTTGAATTTCTCTTTGTTGGAGAAATTATTATGAGTGATCAAATGACCATTATTAATTTCTCTTTGGAGAATTATTTGAATTTCTCTTTGTTGGAGAAATTATTGAGTTTCTTTTTGTTTGAGAAATTATTATGACTGGTCTTTGTACCAGATACTACGAGTGGTGTTGATACCATATTTGAATGGTCTTGTACCATCAGAGGGTGTATTTCTAGACTGATTATCTTGCATAATTTTGAGCAGTGCCGCGAAACGTCTTAAAGAGAGCGACCTAGTCCGCGACTCAACCTGGTAATTTTTTTGGTGGCAAATATTTCAAAATCCGAAACCAACAATTTTAAGACGTTTCAAACTGCCATGACTACCGAATAAATTATTGATTCTTTTGCGGATATTGTCGTTGAGAAATCGTTCATGTTTGAGAGAAGTCACTTCAAACGTTGGCAACAAAAGATGAAGTTCTTAATGTTGAAAAAATGTTGCTAACATTTTGATCGATGACATTCTGTTGCTCCTTCTGGATCAATCAGACAAACTAACGGTAGTAAATCTGGAGATTTAGAAGGAACACTTAATAGTGTTAAAGTTGAATCTGTTGCACAGATTAAAGCAGATGATTTACAGCATAGTAAAGAAATCACCTTATAGAAAGAGAATGAAAATCTCTACAAAATCATATTTTGAATAGACTCGCAGATGATCTGTATGATAATTACAGTTGATGTGATACTGTAAAAACAAGATTGAGAGACTCAAAAAGAAGTATGACGTAGAAGCTGGAGCAAAGAAGTATGTTGTTAGCCGCTACTTCAAGTATCAAATGCGAAGATGTAAGGTCGATGGAGGCTCAATGTTACGGACTTCAAAAGATTGCTTAAAAGATCATCATAAAAGGTATGTGTTTAAATGAACAATTTAAAATTGGTTTTATTATTGACAAACTACCCCATAGTTTGAATGTTTAAAAAAACCAAAAAGGGAATCTTAGAGACAATATCAAAAAGAAAAAGTCTTGGTTGTTTCAAACAACAAAAAGAAATTCGGTGTAGTTTTGAAGCTATTTGGCAAATGATTAAAGAATCAGAACCACAATATTGCGAACCGAATTATGAATGGGAATCCTTCTATGATCCCAATAGCTCCAACTAGGCAACAACCATCACCTAAAAGAAATGACGTTGGTTTCCCTTTGTTTTAACTATGGAAAATCAAGTCATATGACTAAGAAATATAGAAGTAAGCTTGAACTTCTTGGTGTTGTCCCTAATGCATGGGTCAACCTAACTAATGGGCAATTTATTGCTATGGTCATTGAAATCAACATGGTTGATGGATATGTTAGTTGGTGGATAGACACATGTGTCTCGTTGTGTCTGTTATGATCGTGTTATGTTTAAACATACACGAATACTAAAGATAAGAAAGTGTTATTGGGAGATGGTCATACCATGAATGTTGCTGGAATTGTAGACATGGAGCTAAATTTCACCTTCAAAAAGACTTTAATCTTAAAGAACGTTATGCGTGTTCCTAAGATTAGAAAGAATATTGTTTCTGGTTTTCTTTTAAATAAGACATGGTTTAGTCAGTCTATTGGGGTAGATTTGTATGTCATTATGAAGAATGAAGTTTATATGTTTAAATTTTTTGTAAAGAATTTGAAAATGATATAATACGAATTTGTAGTGATAGATAGACTGTATGATTCTAGTTTATTAATGAATTTTATACATGGAATTGTACATGAAACAATTGCACCATACTATCTTGCGATGAATGGTAAAATAGAAAGAAAGAATAGAACTCTTATTGAACATGTTGTTGCAATTATGATGAATTCTGATGCTGCTCCTCACTGGTGGGGGAAATTTTATTGATTATTTTCTATGTCCTGAATAGAGGCCCTAAGTCAAAATGTAAGATCTCTCCTTATGAGATATTAAAGAAAATACAATCAAACTTGTCTTATTTGAGAACTTGGGGTTGTCTGACTTATGTCAGAATTCTGGATCCGAAATGAGTTAAACTCGTTATTAGAGCATATGAATGTGTTTTCATTCGGTATGCAGCAAACAATAAAGCATATAGGTTTTATGACCTAAAGGAAAAAGTGATCATAGAATCAACTGATGTTGAATTCTATGAAGACAAATTTCCTTTCAAATTGAGAAATAGTGGGGGCTACAATCGAGTCACATTCATGTGATAAGAAGCACAGAAAGCAACGACAATGTAGAAACAAAACTTCAACGAAGTAAACGAGTAAGAGTTGCTAAAGACTATAGACCTGATTATGCGGCTTATAATGTAGAAGAAGATCCAATGAATCTTCAAGAAGCCTTATCATCTCTGGATGTTTAGTTATGGCAAGAATCTATCAGTGATGAGATATAATCTCTAGAATCTAACAAGACCTGACACTTAGCAGACTTACCTCCTGGTTGCAAACCAATCGGTTGTAAATGGGTTTTGAAAAAGAAACTAAAACCTGATGGAACTATTGATAAATACAAGGTTCTCCTTATTGCCAAGGGTTTTAGACAAAGAGAAAAATATAGATTTCTTAGACACCTTTTCTACTGTCACTAGAATTACATCCATTAGGGTACTTATTTCAATAGTTGCTATTTATAACTTAATAGTACACCAAATAGATGTTAAAACAACTTTTTAAATGGTGACGTAGAAGAAGAAATCTATATGAAACAACCGGAAGGGTTTGTGATCTATGGATAAGAAAATAAGGTCTGTAAGTTAGATAAGTATTTGTGTGGGCTAAAACAAGCTCCAAAACAATGGCACGTAAAGTTTGATAACTTAATGATATCGAATGTGTACAAAGTGAATGAAAGTGACAAATACGTTTATTATAAATTTGAGAATTGTATTTGCACTATCATATGTCTATATGTAGACGATCTACTCATATTTGGATCAAACATTCAGGCCATTAATGATATGAAATCATTATTGTGCAACAACTTTGATATGAAAGACCTCAGAGAAGTGAGTGTGATTCTTGGTATCAAGATCACAAAATCCGAGCAAGAAATTTCTTTGGATCAATCACAATATGTGAAAAAGATCTTAAAGAAATATAATTACTTTGACAGTAAATCTGTGAGCACACCAAATGATCCAAACGTGAAGTTGTTTAAGAACACTGGTGAAAGTGTTAGACAAACAGAACATGCGAGCATCATTGGAAGTCTTAGATATTCCATTGATGGTACTAAACCTGACATTGTATATGTCGTGGGATTGTTGTGCGGGTTTACTAGTAGACTGAGTAATGAACATTGGCAAGCTATTGAGCGAGTCATATGGTACCTTAAAAGGACCAGGAATCTCAGTTTACATTATCAGAGATTTCCTATTGTATCTGAAGGATACAATTATGCAGATTGGAATACCTTATTGGTTGATTCCAAAGAAACTAGTGGCTATGTATTCAACATAGCTAGAGGAGTTGTATCTTAGAAATCAAAGAAACATACTATCCTGAGAATATAGCATTAGTGACTGCTAGTGAAGAATCAAGTTGGTTAAGATGCTTGCTAACTGAGATTCCCTTATGGGAAAAACATATGTCAGTTGTGTTGATCCACTGCGATAGTACCGCGGCTATTTCAAAAATTGAGAACCGTTATTATAATGGTAAAAGACGTCAAATAAGAAGCAAGCACAACACTGTTAGAGATTGTATCTCTAAAAGAGCTGTAAGAGTGGATCATGTATGCACTGATGAAAAATTTAGCAGATCCTTTGACGAAAGGATTAGCTAGAGAGAAAGTCTATAATACATCATATAAGATGGGACTAATGCCTATAGGAAAACGAGTTACTCATGATGGTAACCCGACCTAAATGACTGGAGATCCCAAGAAATAGGTTCAATGGGTAATAACAAGTTGTGAGTAATATGAGATGATCATGCAAGTAAAGCATGAATCCTGAAGTAATAAGAGGTTGAGATAATAGAAACTCTTAATGAGATCTATACTCTGTATGAGGGAGTACCTAGACTACAGGAGTACTCTTGATAGACTCACCTATGTGATTGTGGAACTTAGGCCGGTTCCTATGGAATTTCGAGGCAGAATTCCTAGAGCCTTCATTAAACTGGGATATACGTGCAGGGCCATTAAAGCACGGGCTATTAGAATACACCTTAAGAATAGGTTGTGTGCGAGTTTGATGTCTGAGATAGAGTTCAAGACATTTGTGTCACTCTTATTAAATTGGAATCATACTTGCTATGCAAAGGTTCAAGTCGTAGACACCTTTGTTTATGCACAATCTTAGAAACGTTTGACGTTACTTCTAAAATCAATTTTTTAAATTCAAGTGGAGGATTGTTGGAACATGTCCATGTTTCAATATGTTGAATTTAAAAATTTCTCAAGTCCCACATTGTTAGAATATCTTTTTGGTTAAAAAAACCATTTAGTCCCACATTGCTCATGTGAGAAATATTAATTATCCTACTTTACTATATAAGGAGTGCATATGTTTCATTCCAAATCACACCAAAAACTATTCTATTAGTTTTTCCTTCCTCACTCTCATAACTCTGCGTCTCTCGAATTGTCGAAACGCCATCTTCTTCCCATTTCTTTCTACTCGTTGAATTTTCCGAGTATTTTCTTGAATTCTCTTTAGAGAATTATGTTAATTTCTCCTCATTTGAGTTGAGAAATTTTCAAGTTTAATCTTTTGGATTCTCTTTGGAGAATTATTTGAATTTCTCTTTGTTGGAGAAATTATTATGAGTGGTCAAATGACCATTATTAATTTCTCTTTGGAGAATTATTTGAGTTTCTTTTTGTTTGAGAAATTATTATGACTGGTCTTTGTGCCAGATACTACGAGTGATGTTGATACCATATTTGAATGGTCTTGTACCATCAGAGGGTGTATTTCTAGACCGATTATCTATCATGCAAGTAGTAATCGTACAGTATAGAACTGGGCTGTTTTATCCTGGAGGTGTTGGCTGAAGATTTTGATAATATTATTAGAGGCCAAGTGAATTGAACGTTTCGATCGAAATGAAGCAAAGCGCCATGTTTCGAAGTAGCAGAAGCAGTGTTTCGAATAAGCATATCAAAGCTTGAAGCTTCGAGTGGCAATTATGGGAACATATCTAAAAAAGTCTCGAAATAACAACAAGGCTGTGTCTGGGAAGTGCGTTCGAAACAGAGAAGTACCAAAACATTTAAAATTCAAATGGAAGCGGGACATTCGAAGTTTGAATTTATGTGCTGGAGCATTTGGAGACACGTGGAAAGAAGAGAGAGGCATTGTTCTGCATGTTCTGAACGTGGCATAATCCTATAGCAAGACCGTTATGGTCGAAATAGTATAAATAGAAGTCTTAGTATTAGGATTTCGGGTGTCATATCTATTGTACTAAATACTCAGTAACATTCAAACTACCACATGACAAGGGAAACGAATGCAAGAGCAATGTACGTATGATAGCACCACATATTTATGATTTAATAAAAACCTTTTATCATTTCCAGCGCTTTCCTTTACCTTTATGCCAAATACCATTTACAAGTTTTCTCATTCAAAGTCTTTTTTACTTCGAAATCTCTTCATTAAAGCCTTACATTTCAATACTTTCTTTACATTTCAAGCACTTTACATTTCAGAAAACTGTCATACTTTTCATGCCTTTATATTTAAGCTTTATCCTTCGAACGCTTATTTTTACTTAGAGTCATTTACAGATTTCTTGCATTAAACGCTTTCTTCATATTTCAAATCTTTTACGTTCCAGAACATCTTTTACATTAACTGTTTTTATAATTCGAAGCCTTTTACCTGCCTTTTATGCAATTTTACATGTCTTTACAATTAACATTTATTCATGCAAGTTAGTTTCGCGCACATACATTTTGATTACACCTTTAGACCTTTAAGAGAGAAATCGAAATAAACCAAACACCTATACAACACTCAAATACCAACCATGAATATCTGTTCGATCATGAGAGTTACCCTAATGACCAAGGAATCCTAGGATCAATCTAGTCGATCCTGTGAGTTACCAGAGGAATTGAATAACAGTCAGAAAGTTTATTCGATAGTTTGGAAGACTAGCGGTTGTTTACCAGAAATCACTGGAAACAGGAGGCGACGCGGTAGTTCGACTGCTTTGCATAATTTTGAGCAGTGCCGCGAAACGTCTTAAAGAGAGCGACATAGTCTGCGACTCAATCTGATAATTTTTTCGGTGGCAAATATTTCAAAATCCGAAACCAACAATTTTTGTGTTAGTGTTGGTGTTTAATTTATTTATTTTTTAAATTATTATTGACGTCCGTGTATTAATGTTGATGTTGTGTTTTGTATCTGATATCCATATGTGTGTATGTGTTTCATAGTATGAAACACTTCTAAATTGTAAGAAAATGTGAAAATAAGTTGGAGATAGAGATAACTGAGGGGGTTGGTTTGTTATTAAGTTTTTATATTTGAATCCTGCTATAAGCAAATCATTTCTATATTGGGTCAGTCTAATATTATGACTTCAATTGGACTTCGCAAGTAGACGATGGAATTGTTCTTCCGAATTTTAAAAATAATTTGGAGATAGTGATAGACATATATATAGTGGTCTCATGTGTTGTTTTTGGATTTTGATTTTCAAATAACAATGATGTTGCACAAATTTTCTTAACCCTTGGGAGTTGAGATTTATTCTCTTACCTTTTTTTAGTCTTTTTAAAGTATTTCTTCCGTCTTAAAGTATAAAAAGAAAATATAAAACACATTTATTAAGAAAAATAAAAATATAATTATTTGATTTATAGTTTTCTTAAAATAAAGTGTTTAGGAAAATGAAAAATAATTTTAATTGTTTATTGTTTATAGAAAATATAAAAGAGAATGTAAACTAAATATATTTTATATTTAATTTTATCTTAAAAAAGATGAACGTAATTTTTTTCTATTATATTTTGTTATAAGAAAAATATATTTTTTTCCTTTTATATTTTAAAACGGAAATATGTACATATTTTAATCAGATATTTCTTCCGTTTTATAATAAATGACCCAATATATAATTTTAAATATATTAAAAAAATATTAAAAAAATAAGAGAAAATAATATTTTTATTATAATATCCCTAATCATATATTAGAAATGATGCTATTCTAAAAAAAAGTTGATTAACCACTGGCAGTAGTAGATTCACTTTCCCATTTCTCAGTCAATGACTTTGGTGAAGATAATACTTGCTTTTTACTCATAGAAGTTTCATCTAATGATGGATGTAGTTCTCCCGAGCGCGAGGACCCGACACAATTGTGTATTTTCTCTAGATGATCAAACTCAAAACTCCCACCATTGATTTTATTGAGTTCTTGCAGAACTTGATCCATGGAAGGTCTTAACTCCATGTTTCCTAGCACACACTGAAAAGCCAATTCAGCCACTGAACTTACCATCCTTTTTACTTCACTATCTGATTCAAAACCAAATGACGTGTCATCCAGCTCTCCAATTGCACCTTTTCTTATCTTCTTAGCCGCTAGATTCGCCAAATTAATTTCCTCTTTTTCTCTAGCAGAATCAATTGCTGTCATAGAAGATATTAGCTCGATGAGCACAACGCCAAAACTATAAACATTACTCTTCACTGAGAGCTTGTAGAGTTGGAAATATTCAGGGTCAAGGTAACCCGGACTTCCTTGTGGAGCTGTGGAAACATGGCTGACATTGTTCGAGAACATCCTCGATAATCCAAAATCTGCTAGCTTAACAGAAAAGTTAACGTCAAGTAGAATGTTGTTGGTTTTGACTTCACGATGAATGATGTCGGAAGCATGTAGATAAGCCAATGCAGAAGCAGTTTCTATTGCAATTTGCATTCGAATAGGCCATGTCAACAAACCAGCTCTAGCTAAATCACCATGGAGATGGCTAGCAACAGTTCCATTAGGAATGTATTCATATACAAGGAGTAGCTCACGGCTATGACGCGAAGTGCAGCCATACAGGGACACCAGGTTCCTATGGCACAAGCGAGCGAGTAATTCAATTTCATTCACAAACTGTTCTACTCTCCTGTTATTGTGCTCAAACAATCTTTTCACAGCTGCCTCCCTTCCATCTTTCAGTTTCCCTGGTTTTTAAATATCATGCTCAGTGACATTGAATTGTGAGTTAAATTATAGAAATAGTGTAAGTGAGTGCTAACCGTAGTAAACAGTGCCAAAGAAGAGTTTGTTGAAGCTCTTCATAAGAGAAGACAGGTATACCAAAGAAGAGTTTGTTTGACTCCAATTCAGGATTTGGATGCGGACCAACATAAGCGTTGTTGCTTGGTTGGAGTTGGATGTGTGGAGAGTCATATTTCCGTTTGAAGTACCGTAGCGTGAGGAACAATCCAACTACGATCCATGGTCCTACACCGACTCCTTTAACAGTATATTGTAATGAATTTTAGTTTCACAGTTTACAAAAACTTGCATTTTTATATTGTTTTAACTTCGAAACTTATAAACGAGTTAACGAAAGAAATGTAAAAAGAACTGTTCTAATCTGTTATCAATGATAATCTTCTGTTATAAAAAGGTAGAAAAGCATAAATATATAAGTATATATACAAATGCACATAATCCGTTATATTTGGAAGCACAGACTAGTTATATTGATCATTAAAATACATTACCTAAAACCAATGGTAGCTTCCAAGATGAACTTCTATGCTTCCTTGAACAATAAATTTGTCCGTTGTTGCGAGCATTACAATGACCTTTCTTATCACGGTGACACCGTTCACACTCATCAGAGAGTTGAAATTGAAAGGTAATTTCACGAACTAAGAATGGAAATGGATTTCCAAAAGTGCAAAGCCTAATTCAACGATAGGAAGATGAAGCAACGAACATGTTGTGAAAGAGCGATTAGACTCTCCATCAAATATTGAATCGCGGAAATAAAAATCATAGTTCAGACAAGAACTGTTTTTGAAGAAATTGTTTGGAGGGTTGGCGACTAATTTTTTGGTAGGGTTGCATTTGAAAGCGGTTATGTTGTCTGTCATATATAAAGTTCCAAAAGGAGGAGGAGAGAGGATAATATTAACATAGGTGAAGACTGTTAGTACAAGGTGATAAAATTGAGGAAGAAGAGAGAAAAATGAATAAATGTTAAAAGCTGCCACTAATGATTGAAGGAAATTAATTGTATATATTGTAAACCTAGTACTCCTATTTATACATACAAATAGTAAAGATAAGAATGCCACATAGGCCCTAATGAGAATATCCAACAAATGACAAATACTAAATTACCCTCTAATACCATCCCGTAATTTAGTAACTATCAGAAGTTAACAATACCAATTTCATCTCTTAAGCGAAGAAATTGGTCTGTTTTTATCGCCTTTGTCAGAACATCTGCTAGCTGCTTCCGAGTGCTACAGTGCAAAACTTCTAACACTCCTTTCTGCACTTGACTTCTGAGAAAGTGATACTTCGTCTCAATGTGCTTGCTTCTTCCATGTAGCACTGGATTCTTTGCAAGATTAATTGCAGACTTATTATCAATCATCAGCTTCAGAGGTTCCTCAACTTTAACCTTCAGATCATGCAGCAGATTTAGAAGCCAAACTGCTTGACAAACAGCTACAGCACCGGCAATGTATTCAGCTTCACATGTTGACAAAGCCACAACAGGCTGTTTCTTGGAACTCCAAGAAATTGGACCTTCCAGAAACTTGAACAAATACCCATAAGTACTTCTTCTGTCAACTCTATCTCCACACCAATCAGAATCAGAATAACTCAGAAGTTCTGATTTGATCTTTCCTCCAGAAGGAAATAAAACTCCATATTTCAGAGTTCCTTTTACATACCTCAGAATCCTGACAGCAGCTCGGTAATGAGACCACTTTGGTTTGCTCATGTATCTGCTGACCATTCCAACTGCATAGCAAATATCAGGTCTGGTATTACACAAATACCTCAGAGAACCAACCATCTGTTTGAAGGTTGTAGCATCCACATCCTCTCCATCAGAATCAGAATCCAACTTCTGATTCGTATCAGCAGGTGTGATAGCAACCTTGCAATTTGCTAGCTCAAATCTCTTCAGAAGCTCCAGTTCATACTTCTTCTGATGTAAGATGATTCCTTTCTCAGAGTATATAAATTCCATCCCTAGAAAGAAACTCATTTTTCCAAGATCTGTCATCTCAAACGCATTCATCAGAACTTTCTTGAACTTAACTGTTTCTTGTTCAGAACTTCCTGTGAGTAATATGTCATCAACATACAAACAGATCAGAATCATATTACCTTCTGAAGTGTACTGAACATAAACACCATACTCCATCTCACACTTCTGAAACCCTTGTTCCTTGAAAAACGAATCAATCTTCAAATTCCAAGCTCTGGGCGCTTGCTTCAGTCCATACAGAGCTTTATTTAACCTGTATACCATTCCTTCCTGATTCTTTTTCACAAATCCAGGAGGTTGTGACACATAAACTTCTTCTTGTAATGGACCGTTCAGAAATGCAGACTTCACATCCAGATGTATCAAAGGCCAATTTCTGTTTGCAGCTAAAGCAATCACCAGTCTGATTGTTTCGTGTCTAGCTACAGGCGCAAACACCTCAAAGTAATCTAGTCCAGGTTTTTGAAGAAAACCTCTGGCCACTAGTCTCGCTTTGTGTTTGCCAATTGATCCATCTGGCTTTAGCTTCTGCTTGAAAACCCATCTGACGCTGATGGCTTTCTTGCCTTTTGGAAGTTCTGTCAGCTTCCAAGTCTTGTTTCTTTCAATAGCCTCAAGTTCTTCTTTCATGGCATTCAGCCATACTTTCTTCTTGAGCGCTTCTTCAATACCCACTGGTTCAGAATCTACTAGCATGGCACACTGAACGATTTCTCCTTCAGAATCTACTTCAGTATCATGCAACATGCTAAAATCTGCAAACCTACTTGGTATTCGTCTGATTCTCTGTGGCCTCTGATCTTGTTCTGAAGCTTCTCCAGAACTCGGAACTGTGCTGGCTTCTGGACTTTGTCCAGAATTATTTCCTTCAGAATTACCACCTTCAGAGTTACTTCTGGAAACTTGTTCTCCAGACCCCATGTCTTCAGAGTTTTCCCTTCCAGAAGTATAATCACTACCAGATTCTGGATCATCATCAGAATCTGGATCAGAATCAGATCCACTATCAGAATCTCCCTGAGATTCTGACTCATCTTCAGAGTCTTCATCTTCTGACTCGTCTTCAGAACTTTCTGAAGGATCTTCAGAAACTAACCCTGGTGTTGGCGCTACACCAGAATCTGATTGAAGCTTGTTCCAATCCCATGTTTCTGACTCTTTCACAATGACGTCTCTGCTTATCTCAACTTTGTTGGTTTCTGGACAATAAAGCTTATAGGCACTTGTACTGTGGTACCCCACCAGTAACATTGTTTTGCTTCTATCATCCAGTTTTCGTCTTCTAGCCTCTGGAACGTGTTTGTAGCATACAGAACCAAACACCTTCAGATGGTTAACACTTTGCTTGTCTCCAGTCCATTTTTCTAAAGGAACAGTTTCCTTCAGCTTCTTTGTTGGACACCTATTCAGAACATATGCTGATGTGGCAACAACTTCTCCCCATAACATGTGAGGTAACTTCTTCTCTTTCAGCATACTTCTGGTCATATCAAGCAAAGTCCTATTCCTTCTTTCAGCAAGACCGTTGTGCTGAGGAGTATATGGAGCAGTAACCTCATGTTCTATCCCATTCTCCTCACAGAACTTCTGGAACTCTGTAGAGTTATACTCACCTCCACCATCTGTTCTCAGAATCTTCAGCTTCTGACCACTCTGCTTCTCAGCCTTCACCTTGAACTTCTAGAACTCAGTAGACACTTCATGCTTGAACTTGATGAGTGTTACCCATGTCATTCTTGTGAACTCTTCCACAAAAGACATAAAATATTTGTTTCCTCCAAGTGAAGGTACTGGAAATGGTCCACACACATCAGAATGTACTACTCCCAGAGCATGCTTTGCTCTGGGGGCTACTTCTGATGCAAATGGCAATCTGGGTTGCTTGCCTTTCATGCATATCTCACATGACTTCTGAGGCTTCACAATCTTCGAAATGCCATGTACGAGCTTCTTAGAACTTAGATGCCCTAAGCTTCTATAGTTCAAGTGCCCCAACCTCTTGTGCCACAGCTTACTGTCAGCTTTAGCGCCTTCTGCACTAAGACACTCTGCTTCAGAAGTTTCTACATTCACCTTGAATGTTCTGTTGATTCCCTGCTCAGACTTCATAATCAACTTCTGATTAGAATCATACAACGTCAAGAGGTTGTCCTTTATAACCACTGAAAAACCTTTCTCAATAAGCTGATCCACACTCATCAGATTGCTTTTAATTCCAGGAACATACTAAACGTCTTTGATCAGAATGTTTCTTCCATTCTTCACTCTGACTCTAACATTTCCCATAACTTCTGCATTAAGGTACTTATCATCAGCACATCTGATCTTTGTTCTCCTTCTTGAGTCAAAGTCTATCAGCCATTGTTTGTTCCCAGTCAAGTGGTTTGAACAACCAGTATCCATATACCACCAATCTTCTGAACAGTTTCCATCAGAATCAGAAGCCATCAGTAGCACAGGTTCATCATCAGAATCTTCTTTGGCTATATTTGCTTCTTCTGATTTCCTTCCTCTGTTTCTACATTCTCTGGCAAAATGACCAAACTGTTTACAGCAGTAACATTGAACCTTCTTCTTGTCATACCTTTCCTTTCCCTTCTGATATTTCTTTTCATCAGAAGTCGAGGTTTCTGACTTCTAGAATTTATCACCATGTCTATTCTGCTTTTGGTCCTTCTTGACAAAAGAAGCTTTCAGAGCTTGCTCCATTTCCCTCTCAGAAGTTCTTTCAGTCAGACGCAACTCTTGCGCTTCTAGACTGCTTTGCAACTCTTCTATTCTCATGGTTTCCAGATTTTTAGAATGTTCAATTGAAACAACAATGTAATCAAACTGAGGAGTAAGTGACCTCAGAATCTTTTCTATGATTACCTGTTCAGAAAGTGTTTCTCCACAAGATGATTACCTGTTCAGAAAGTGTTTCTCCACAAGCCTTCATCTCATTAGTGATCAGAATCATTCTGGAGATGTACTCAGAAACTTTCTCACTGTTCTTTATGCTGAGATTTTCATATTGTTTTTGCAGGGACTGAAGCTTTACCTTCTTTACTGGTACGTCACCACCATAACATCTGGTCAGTATATCCCATGCCCCTTTCGACGTCGTCGAATCAACAATCTTCTCAAACACATTTTCATCCACACACTGATGGATGAAGAACAGAGCTTTCTGATCCCTCTTCCTCACAACTCTTTCTTCTGATTTTTGTTCTTCAGTAGCATCTGCTGCAACTGGAACATAACCTTCAGAAACAAGATCCAGAACATCCTGAGCACCAAACAGCACACGCATTTGTATCTTCCATATGTTCCAGTTTTTGCCATCAAAAACTGGAAGTTTAGTGTTCAAACTACTGCCTCCATTCATCTTAAATCTTGCACAAAAACTCAGATCTCAGATTTCTCACTCAGTGTTTCCCAAACCCACAGAATCAGTGTGATTCTGTTTCAGATTTTTGTTCAAGATTCAAAAATCAAACACACAGCTCACTATCACTCGTGTTTCCCAGAATTTCAGAACAAACCAAGAGCTCTAGATACCAATTTGTTAGTACAAGGTGATGAAATTGAGGAAGAAGAGAGAAAAAGGAATAAATGTTAAAAGCTGCCACTAATGATTGAAGGAAATTAATTGTATATATTGTAAACCTAGTACTCCTATTTATACATACAAATAGTAAAGATAAGAATGCCACATAGGCCCTAATGAGAATATCCAACAAATGATAAATATTAAATTACCCTCTAATAAAGACTTCACAAGCATTTGTCCTCAAAAGCTTGATAAAACTCTGGTCGATAATGGAAATAGTGTTTCCTTTGGATGAGTCATAATCAATGTTTGTAACTTGAAAGAGTTTTCCTCCTTTGGTTAACTGAATATGCTTCATAGAAGTAGTTTTGTTAACAACATCACAACACCTTGAATTGTGAATGCACCACAGTGTGGGAATCCAACCTTGGTAAAAGGAGAGCAAAGAAGCCCAAGATCTCCACAATCAAATGAGTCTGGACAATCATCACTGTCTCCATTTCCTTTGCTAGTTAAGATAAGTAACAGTAGCATAGTTAAATGAGAGAACAGAAGGAACCTATAATGTAGTACTGCATCAACTAAAGCCATTGAATTATATTTCACAATTTGTTTCATAACTGTTTTTTTGCTATACATAAATATATCCTTTGAAGCCGGATGACACGGAATTGACTTCGAAATTTAGCATACAACAGTTTCATTAATTATAACTGTTTCTTATAATTAGAGGCGGCCCCAGGATGTGCTGCTCACCTCAAATTTTAAAAACTATCATTGTCTTCTAATACTAGTTTTATTCAGTTTTGAATATTCAAAATTTGAAATTTACAATATAATTAATTAATAATAATATAATGAAGACATAATAAAATAATAGATTTGATATTGAATATAATAAATACAATGGAGTATATTAAAACTTAATGTTACAGATTGTATTGATCAATTATATTAAATGTATATAAAATAGTAAAAAAATATTAAACGAAATTAATAAATTATATATATATATATATATATATATATATATATATATATATATATATATATATATATATATATATATATATATATATATATATATATATATATATATATATATATATATATATAATTCTTTTATTATTTAACATATGAATATTTATTTTGTAATCAAAATTATAATTCTACCGTTGTATCATTTAAAAAAATTATAACTTTATTTTTTTTTATTGTCAAGGATTATTATCAATGCAAATTCTAACTCAATAAATATATGTGAAATAATATATATTGAGTTATTTTTGGATTTAAGCTACTAATAAAAAAATAGTTTACATTGTCAACAAATTATTCTTTTAAATCATACTTATTCATTAAAATTTTAATATATAAAACTCTTTTTTTTTTTAAATTTAATATAATTGATAGATAGTAACAATTATTTTGATTCTTCTTATTACTTTTAAACATTCAACATATTCTCAATTTTTTAAACGAAATCTGTTCTGGACTGGGCCCGACAGGCCCAAAAGCATTGCAAAGGCCCAGTCCAAATGGACTTACAAGGGCCACGCCGACCAAAGAGTACGACCGTGTCTGACGGGTAGTCGCAGGCTCGACAGCACACCTCCAGCTCGACATGCTGCGGTCCAGCACCACATCCTGAGGTCCAGCTCGACATTACCTCGAGCACCCCATCTAGGGCAGACTCAGTCCACTATTCCCCCAATGATACCCCGAAAAGACCGCGTCTCCGTCCGCACGCACTTCACGCAGAACATCCAGGAAGGGGACCACGTGCGGGTCCCCACTACGCACGTAGAACCTGGCAGTTCCTCCATTGGGCCAAACCTGCCCGACCCAATGAAGGAACCTTGGCCCAGCGCTGGGGGCTATAAATACCCTCTGCTTCCAGAGGGTCAGGTATTCATCATTCTAACCTTACACTTACAATTATCTGCTCGTACTCCTACTTACTTCAGCATCGGAGTGCCTTGCAGGTACCCCCCCCACTTCGTTCAAAAAGCTTTCTGCTCGGAGCCAGCCGTGACGGTCCATTTCTGATCAGGTGAGATCAGTGGCGCCGTCTGTGGGAAACTAGCTTCCCCGTCTAACGAACAACTCTAAAGACCAAAGCTCATTTCAACTACCTGTCATGGCTGATCCAGCTCGCGACGAGCAGCACGTCCGTGTCGCCGACACTAATAACGGCACCGCGGACAAGAATGGACACCTCGATAACCCCGGTGATCCCGTCCACAGTACCATTCCTGTGACGACCGCCCCTGGAACTTCCTCCTACAGGGACGGGGCTACTGCATCATCCTCATCGACCCCACCAGCACTTGAAGACGACCCGGTAGCTCTCGCTCATTACAGAGCTGCCCGGTTCCATGAAGTCCCAGTTCCCGCCGGGGCAGATGCCACGACTCAGGCACTGTTCGCGGCCATTAATCAGACAAACTATCTCATCTTCGCCCAAGGAGAAAGATTAAGGGCACTTGAAGATGATCGACGACCCCCGAAGAGGCATCGGAGGCCACATTCTCCACCTCCTCGGGTCACAGAAGTTCGACACCCTTCTCCCCCGCGGAGACACTACAGGGAGAACTCCAGGAGCCCCTCTCCCCGGCCAAAGCAGAGGCGGCCCTACTATGAGAGACAGCCCGCCATCATTGCCGGAGAACCCAGTCGCGACCCGTCAAGGCACGACAAGAGGCACGCCGGGGACGGGCGTGTGACGTTCAACCACCGAGCATCACGCTCGAGGGAAACTCAGCACGACCACTGTGCCAGACAAAACTACAGGTCCCCATCTCTTTCTCTGGAGAGGAGCGACGAGGACGACCCCCGCGGTCCCCTGTCGCAAGCCATCATGGATGCACCCATCCCCCCAGGCATGGAGAAGCCCCCGCATCTGAAGGAGTATGACGGAGTAGCAGACCCGGTCGACCACATTGACGGGTTCGAAGCCATGCTCCACTATCATAATGTCGGGGGGCCCATCAAGTGCCGTCTTTTCCCCACGACTCTCAGGAAGGCGGCCATGGACTGGTATAAAGGACTCGCCCCGGGCTCAATCACGTCGTGGCGGAACCTGAAGAACCAGTTCATCAGTTCCTTCACAGCTTCTCGGCGCCATCCGAAGACCGAGGCGGCCCTCGAGGCCATCATCCAAAGACAAGATGAAACCTTGAGGGAGTTCATCAACCGCTTCAACCGAGAAGCAATACAGGTCCCCTGCGCGGACCATATGAAAAGATACTTGCTGGAGAGGGGTCTCCTCCCCGACACAGAATTCAGAAAGGTTGTGGGTATTGAGCTACCTCCGACTTTTGATGCCCTCCTCGATAAGGCCCGAGCATACATGGACTACAAGGAGAGGGAAGCTGCCAACGGGGCCCGAGACTCCAGGACCCAACAACAGCAGCAGCTCACGACAAGAGGCTCCTCCCCGACGTACCGGGGAGAAAAGGAAAGAAGATCGACCCAGGGAAGTCCGGGAACAAAGGGGCCCCTTGGGCCGTTTCACCGAGTACACTCCGCTCACAGCTTCCCGCGAGCGTATTTTGGTGGAGTGTGCCAGTACAGATTTCAGGGACGGTGGCGTCAAGCGTCCCCGACCTACTCCCGCCAAGCCAGGGGCGGATAAAAATAAATACTGTCAATACCATAGGAGTCATGGTCATTTGACAGAGGACTGCGTCCATCTCAAGGACGCCATTGAAACCCTCATCAAGGGAGGGAGGCTCGCACAGTACAGGGGAAACGACACTCCCCGTCGTGACGCCCATGAAACCAAGGAGCCCGAAGAAGATGCCCGACCATCAGACGAGTCGGTGCCTATCCAGACCGCCTTCTCGGTAAGCAGGCCCGAGGATTTCGACATTCCCGAGCTCCTGCAGGAGCCGCTGACAACGCACAGCAGGTGGGAATACTTCCCCTCTGCCATGGTCATCAACGGGGGCGGGTTCAACGACCTCACCATCAATTCAGCTAAGAGGAAGTTGGACGAGCTGGTCGACATAGCTCCCCCGCAAACTGTAACCTTCGAAAGGGTGAAGGGCAGGTCAGATCCCATCACCTTCTACCTAGAAGAAATCCCCGGCGGAGCCCCGAACGCGGTCATCCCCTTACTGATAAGGGCAAAAATGGCCAATTTTGACGTGCATCGCATCCTGGTCGACGAAGGGAGTTCCGTCGACGTGATGTACAGCCAGCTATTCCGGACCTTGCAACTGGACGACTCACATCTCTCTCCGTATGTGGGTTCGGATCTACAAGGCTTCAACGGCTCGACTTCCAAACCTTGGGATTATGTCGAGCTCCTGGTTACGTTCGGCGAAGGAACGGCTACGCGACAGGTTAAGGTCCGCTTCCTCGTCATTGATTGCCCATCTCTATACAATTGCATCTTGGGGAGACCGACACTGGCGGAGCTGACAGCGGTGCCCTCGACTGTCCATCTGAAAATGAAGTTCTATACCAAAAGGGCACGGGTAGCCACCATCCAAGGAGACCTCGCCGCTGCCCGCAGGTGCTTTAACGCTGCTTCAAAGGGACGGGATACCGTCGACATAGGGACCAGACCCACCAAAAGGACAAAACAGGAGCCCGACAGGAAAGCATCCCCCGAGGAAGAAGTCCAGAAGGCCCCTCCAAAGGTCGACTCCATAGCCCTCGACGCTCGCTTCGATCAGGACGAGCCATCCAGCAGCGAGCAAATCCCACTCCGACCAATTCCGGACGGGGATTTTGAACTCGTTCCCCTCGGCACAGACCCGACCAAGGGAGTGAAGATTGGTAAAGACCTCCCCGACTTGGCCAGGAAGTAAATCAAGGCCTGTCTGCACGAGAATGCTGATCTCTTCGCCTGGAGCGCTGCAGAGATGCCCGGACTCGACCCTGAGGTCGCCTGTCACCACCTCGCCATTGATCCAGCCGCCAAGGCCGTAGTACAACGTAGGCGTAGGCAGTCTCCAGAAAAAACGGAGGCTGCTGAAAAAGCTGTAAAAGACCTCCTAGAGGCAAATTTTATTTTTGAAGCCCGGTATTCCACCTGGCTGTCAAATGTTGTACTTGTGAAAAAGAATAATGGAAAATGGAGAATGTGTGTTGACTATACCGATCTCAACCGGGCTTGCCCGAAGGATGCTTTTCCCTTACCTAACATAGACATGCTGGTCGACAACTCGGCCGGCTACAAGGCTTTGTCGTTCATGGACGCCTACTCGGGATATAACCAAATCCCAATGGCTCTGAGCGACAAACACTGCACGGCATTCATGACCAGCTCGGGAAACTATTACTACAACGTAATGCCCTTCGGACTGAAAAACGCCGGAGCAACTTACCAACGTATGATGAACAGAGTTTTCAACAAACAGATCGGCGACATGCTCGAGGTATACATGGACGACATGATCGTCAAATCCCGAGCAGACACCGATCACGCAGCTCATCTCAAGACAGTCTTCGCCCAAGCAAGACAGTGCAAAATGAGGTTCAACCCCGAGAAATGCACGTTCGGGGTTAAGGCAGGAAAATTCCTTGGATTCTATCTAACAGAACGAGGGATTGAAGCCAACCCCGACAAATGCCGGGCA